ACTTATGTAATGCAAACTGTCACGTGACTGTATTTGACTTCCGAGGGTTTTGTTGCTCCTGTTCCTTTTTGTTTCCATAACAACTAAGTATAATTTACCATAGTAACACATAGTTAAAAATCGAACCACTTTTTCAAACCTTTTATGCAACTATGCAACACAAAAAATTGAAACCGGAATTCATCTCCATCAGTTCATATTGAAACAAAGAATTTAAATGGTTATTAAAGGAAATCTTTTGTTTTAAACGAGTGATAACCGATAATTTTTAGTTTAATTTTAGTCTTACGATACTTTCTATTTATAAAAAGGGAAATATCTTTCAATTTGTTATTTATATATCAGGGATTTTTATCAATCGCCATTATCACTGGGAAACTTTTAGCTGGGAGATTGAGATATTGAGGAAAAAATTCTTCAAACAATATAATACACTGATTACAACATTTGTAATCTTGAAACTCAAACCAACAAAATAAATTAATCCAACTTGGTGATTAAAGAATCAATTATATTTAATATTTATATCATAGTCCATTCCTTTTATTATATTTGAAAAGACTTCTAAATACCCTTTTTGCTGGTTAAAATATACTGTGTTTCAAAATAATATCAAAAGGCATTGATTTACATTATATTAATTTATATCAACAATATTTATTCAATAACTAAAAGAGGCAATATAATCCCTTATAGTATCACTTAAATCACTTAACTATATCAAAAAACAATTCAATTTATATCATTTCTCTACATATACAAAAATGTCTGAATATTTAACATTTTCTTCAACGCCCTCCGGTAAAGCTGAAGGTAAAACTCATATAATAATAGTTGGTGCTGGTATCATTGGTGTATGTACCGCTTATTATCTTACAAGACATCCAGATTTCTCACCAGAAACTCATCATATAACAATAATTGAATCTAAGAGAGTTGCAGGTGGTGCTTCTGGTAAAGCTGGTGGTTTATTAGCACTTTGGGCATTCCCACAACAAATTGTTCCATTAAGTTTTAAATTACATGAAGAATTAGCTAAAGAATATAATGGTGAAGATGAATGGGGTTATAGAAGATTAACAACTGTTTCTTTAGAAGGTAATATTCAAAATTTATTAAATAATGAAGATGATTCAAGTTCGAGTTTGGAAGATCCGAAAAAGGAAACAATTCAACAAGTGGAGGATGATGATGAAAGTGAAGTAGAAGATGAGAATGATGAGAATGATGGAAATAATGATAATAATAATGATGATGATGATAAGGTACAGAATAATAGAAAGAAAAACAACAATGTTCTTGAATCCACCACAAAAGAACTTAAAACTTCATACCCTCCTCCAAAAACAGAATCATCATCTGAAGAAGATGTTTCAAAATCATCTGAATTGAAAAATCCTCCACCAAAGAAAAGAACTGTAACTAAAAATTCAATTAAAAATGAACATAATTTACCATCAAAAAATTATTTACCAAAAGATTTAAATTGGATTAAACAAGATGTTATTCAAGATTGGTCTGTTTTAGGAGGTCGAGATTCAACTGCTCAAGTACATCCATATAAATTTACAAATTATATCTTAAGAAAAGCAATGGAAACTGGTGCAGTAGAATTAATCTTGGGGAAAGTTGATGAAATTGAATTTAGTGAAGATACTGGTGAAGCAATTGGTATTTCATATATTCCAACAAAGACATTAGGAAAAGAAAATGAAGAACGTATTTCATTAAAAGGTGATCAAACTGTATTAACAGTGGGTCCTTGGACTTCAAAAATTTTACCAGATTGTCCAATTTCTGGATTAAGAGCTCATTCAATAACAATTGCACCACATAATGGTATGGTTTCTCCATATGCTATATTTACAGAGTTAAAAATTGCAAGAATGAAATATGTATCACCAGAGATGTATGCTCGTAAAGATGAAGTTTATGTATGTGGTGAAGGCGATACTTTAGTTGATGTTCCAGAAACAACAGATGATGTTGAAGTTATAAAAGAAAAATGTGATCAATTATTTCATTATGTTGGTAAATTAAGTCCAAATTTATCAAAAGGTCATATTTTAAAAAGACAAGCTTGTTATTTACCTGTATTGGATGTTCCTTCAAGTTCTGGTCCTTTAATTGGTGAAACTAATGTGGAAAATTTATATTTAGCTTCAGGTCATTCATGTTGGGGTATAAATAATGCTCCTGGTACTGGTAAAATTTTAGCTGAATTATTATTAGAAGGTGAAACTCATAGTGCTGATATAAGTGCTTTAGATCCAAGTTTATATTTTGATGCAAGTGTATTGGTTGGTGAGTAAAAAGAGAGAAAAACTAAGGGAAATAAATATATTTGATAAAATTTGCTTATTCATGATGATTCTTTACTGTATATACAGTTTATTAATAATATTTAGTACAAAGAAAAAACATTTAATACAAAATTTACGATAATGAAATAAAATCATTCCAGTAGTTATTTATAATGACGTATATGTTGATCATTGTTTATATATTGAATTGTTTATAATATCTAATAAGATATATGTACTTCTTTCATTTCATTATTGACAACATCTTTTCTTCTTCTTCTTCTTTATGTGAAAACAACATCTAATTTTTCTACTTTTTGATCTACTTTTTTTATCTACTTGCAGCATTAAAAGCTGCTGCTGCTGCACCACCTGCAAATTTCTTATTTTGTTGTTGAATTTTTTGTTGATTTGATTGTTGTGATGCTGTTGTAGGTGTTGATTGTGAACTTGGTCTTCTTGGTACTTTCACTTGTGGAGGTTTTGATGATGCTTTACTCATAGTTTTAGTTCCATTATTATTCCCATTAAGATTATGTCCATTCGATGATTTAATTGGTGGGGTTGTAGTAGAAGTTGGTGAATTCTTTTTAATTGGTTTTGGTTTAGATTGTGATGATGATGATGATATTGGAGTATTTGAATTTGAAATATTATTTATTGATGATGAATTAGTTAATGCAGGTGATGATGGTTTGGAATTGTTAGTTATAGCAGGTGATGATGGTTTTGATTTTAATAATTCTTTTGTTTTCAATAATGCTTCAATCCATGAAAATTCTAAACCAATTTGTATAGAACTAATATCTTGTAAATCTAATTTAACTTGATTTGATAAAGGTGATAAGAAAATCAATTTATCTAATTTTGTGATTTCCAATATTAAAAATCCAGATTGTTTAAATTCATTAAATTCATAATCATACATTGCAAAAAATTTATCAGTTAAATCAATTTTTAAATATTTTTGAATTTCAGTTATAGGATCATTTTTAAAAAGATATAAATTTCCATAATCTGTTATAACCATAACTATTCTTTTTGTATTTGAAATTAATTGTGATTCATTTCTTGTAATAATTTCATTAATTAAAACATCATCTAATCCAGAATTTTTATTTAATGCAGATAATGGATTAGTTGGATCCATTGTATATAATGAAGAGTAAATCAATTCAGATTCATTTATATAATCTAATTTAATAACAGTTTCATCCATTGCCAATTCATTAGAAATTACTAATGGTAATTTTAAAGTGGTCTTTTGACGTCTTTGTGGAGATTTTGGTGATGAAACAACACTTGAATTTGATTTCTGTAAATTGTTGCTAGATTTTGGACTATTTAAATTTGATCCATTTGGTGAATTTGGAATTGAATTTGATGAGTTTCCTAATGATCTTGGTGATTGAGTTAAGATTTTTGGAGGTGGTTGAGTACGATAATTTGAAGGAGGTATTATATGTTGAGGTTTAATTTGTGATGAAGTTGGAACTAATGGAGGTGCTAATTTTGGACTAGATGAAGCTGAAGAAGTAGTATTCCTTATTTGAGGTGGTGGTTGCTTTTGAATGTTTTGTATATATGATGGAACTTGTTGTGATTGTGCCTTTTGTTGTTGCTGTTGTGGAGGTGGTGGTGCATTAACAGATGGGGGTGGTGGTGGTACAGTTGATGATTGATATGATTGTTGAGGTCTAAAAGGTTGTGTAGTTAATGGTGGCTTTTGTGGAGATTGTTGATATTGTAATGTTGGATTAACATGAGGTGGTGGTTGTTGTTGACCTGATGGAATTTTAGAAATCACTGGTTGAGAAGTTTGTCTTGGTAATTGTGGATTAAATACTTTTGGTGATAAATGTTGTTGAGAAGTTGATCTTTGACCTATAAAACCTGGAGAATTTGGACTTCTTTTTTGAGGTGATGGTATAAATTGAGGTGGAACTTGAGGTTGTGAATAAATAGGTTTTTGTTGAGGTAATTGATTTGTTGATGGTTGGCCACCATTCCCATTATTTAAAGGAGAATAAATATAACTTCCATTTTCATTTTTAATTTGTTTTAAAGTATTATTTAATAATTTTTTTTTAGCAGTTGCAGTTGGAATTTTTTTTTGTATAATAATTTTTTTAAAATTTTGTGAATTTTCATTATGTTGTTGAATAATTGATTGATAAGGTTCTAATTTTGGTGGTTGAGTTAACCAAATTAAATTTTTATCATCCCAATTAAAATTTCCAAACCAATTATGAGATTCAACTTGTTTAATAGTTAATCTTTCCTTTGGTTCTAATTTTAATAAATTATCAACTAAATTTTTAACAGTTGATGGTATATAATAATTTGGCCATTGATATTGTAAATTAACAATTTTTTCAAAAGTTAAAAATTCAGTTTTACCTTTAAATGGAGGTAAACCAACGAAAAATTGATAAATTATACAACCAATTGCCCATAAATCACATTCAAATCCACATTTGTTAAATTTTAATAATTCAGGTGAAACATATTCAGCAGTACCAACAAATGAACCTTTATCCAAAGATTCATCATTTGTAGATGATTTATCAATTATATTTCCCTGAGGATCCAAGTCCAAAATTTTAGCAGCACCAAAATCAGTAATCATTATTTTCATATCAGTATTCACAAGGATATTTTCAGGTTTTAAATCACGATGAATTATACCTTTACTATGCATAAAATCCACAGCATCAATAATTTGTTTCATATAATATTTTGAACAATCTTCACTTAGTGAGCCTAATTTCCTTATAATTGTAAGTAATTCTCCATACTCAGCAATATCAATAACAAAATATAAAGAAGCATCATCTTGGAAAGTATAGTATAAAGTAACAATCCCTGGGTGACGACCTAATCTATTCAAAGTTGTTTTTTCAATGTTTACATATTTGATTTTTTTCTCTTTAACTATATGCTTTTTGGATAATACTTTTATAGCATATAATTTTTTATTTTGAATATCAGTTGCTTTGAAAACAGTTGAATATGAACCTTCACCAATTCTATTACCAAATTGGAAATCTTGAACACTTCTTTTTCTTGAAGCAGCTTGAACTTGTTGAGCTTGATGTTGTTGTGGAATATCAGGATTTGGCGCTATAGGTATCTGTGTAGGAGCTGACATTGTGATTGATCCTGTGTGTTTAATTTGTAGTTGAAATGTTGATGTACTGGTTTCAATACTATCTAGACATCAATAATCCTTGACTTTTAACAAAACAAGACTCTTGAAAGGCGGTAAAAAAGGTGGAAAACTTTGAACCAGGCGAATTTGATTGAATGCAAGTATTATAGCGAATGTATTATAATAGCCAGTATCTGATTTAGTCTTTGGTTGTACTTGTTGTTGGTTGTTGAAGTACTAATTTAGCGCTGATGATTTTAATTTGGATGTGTTGTTCTATTAAAAAAAATAACGTCAGTGCCCAAATGAGTAGAAAAGATGATTTGTGCAGGAAAACCAAAACAAAAAATGAATTTTGACGTTTTAGCACAGACTTTGACTGGTTGGGTAATAAGGGGAAAGGTATGTGTTGTTATGAGTTGTCTAGATGGATTCTTTGAGTTCTAAATAGTATTCCTCTGTTTTTTCTGGTGTTTATTTCATTTGTTTTGATGATCTTGATTATCATTTGAATTGAAATGTTTATTACTATACGCTTGACTGCCCGATTCGGTAACTACAAGACTACAAGTCATTCTATCAAAGTAATTCATAAACGTTCATTAAAATGTCATTAAGAGAATATAAAATAAATATAAGCATTTCTTTCAATTTATAGTATTTGATTTCTTTCTTCGTCTTGTTCTTGTTCTGGTCCTGTTTAATATACTTTGATCTTGTCTTATGAATAATAGTCCAATATAAGTTCCAATAGTGACAAATCCTACCAACAACAACACCAAGGGTAATTTAATAGCATATTCAATGGGAGGATATATCCATTGCGATATTGAATCATCTAGAAATGGCTGGATTGGATGGTTAGTTCATTCTATATTTATATGGTATTTCTTCTTACTCACTGTTAAGTATAACCACGAAAGGTAGTAGCCAAACAATAATGTGAACCAAACAAGCATTGAACTCGGGGAAAAAGGGAGATGGTAGTATAAGATGAGACTAATATGATGGAATACCTTACTCCATTAATATCCCTTTCAATTGATTAGTAAAATACTTGTTAAATCTTTCAATTACACAGTTTCTTTATAAAGTTCTGGTTTTCCAATTTCGAACGCTCGGTTTTAATTTATTACAAATAATTGCAATTGCTTCCAATTATAAAAAGTATAAAAGAGCGGTCAATTTCACGAAAAATATAAGAAGTATCCACAATTTTATAATTTATCAATTATCAATTACAATTGAATTGAACAAACCACACAATGTCATTCTTATCAACAACTACTCGTGCTTTACGTACCCAAGTTTCTAAAACTCCTTTATTATACAGAACTAAAGCTACTTTACCAGATTTAGATTATGATTATGGTGCTTTAGAACCTCATATTTCAGGTCAAATTAATGAATTACATCATAAAAAACATCATCAAACTTATGTTAATGGTTATAACACTGCTATTGAACAAGCTGCTGAAGCTGCTGCTAAAGATGATATCTTAAAATCAATTGAATTAACTCAACATATTAAATTCCATGGTGGTGGTATTAGAAATCATAATTTATTTTGGAAAAATTTAGCTCCAACTTCTCAAGGTGGTGGTGAATTACCAACTGGTGCTTTAGCATCAAAAATTAATGATCAATATGGTTCAATTGATAAATTAATTGGTTTAACTAATACTAAATTAGCTGGTGTTCAAGGTTCAGGTTGGGCTTTTATTGCTAAAAATAATGAAAATGGTGCTATTGAAGTTGTTCAAACTTATAACCAAGATACTTTAACTTCTAAATATACTCCATTGATTGCCATTGATGCTTGGGAACATGCTTATTACTTGGAATATCAAAATGTTAAAGCTGATTATTTCAAAGCTATTTGGAATGTTATTAATTGGAAAGAAGCTGAAAGAAGATTTGCTGCTTAGATAGTTTGAGGTCTTCAATTAACTTTTCAATTTTATCTCTATGACTATATAATTATATCAAATATATTCAAATTAATCACATTTATTAGATATGTAGATGGTTGGACATATATCATATATCCCTTTATATCACTTCGGCCGAAAGTTGAAAGTTTACAACCTCTTAACATTACAACAAACAGTCTTCAATTTCAATGAAGCAAGTATGTCTACATTATCATATCACTAGATGTCAATTGAATCCATTGACCATTGACCATTGACCATGTGTATTCAATTGATTCTGATCAAATCTTAGCAATTAATTACTTCTCTACCAATGAAATTTCCCATGACTAAAACGGAACTAAAATCCCGGAATCGAAAAACTTAAAAAAAAAAAAAAAATTAAATCTCAGTGTCTGGATTTACACTGAGTCATGGGATCAGCGTGTAAACTTCAGAACCAAATAAATTTTAATTTGGCATATAATCTCAGTGATGACTTTGATGGGACATAAATATTAGATCAAGATTATAGAATACCTTCAATCATTGTTCAAAATGTCTGAACTACATGAATTATGTCGTCTTCAACAAAGACCAATTGATCAACATTACATTAAATCTTTACAATATTTCCTTAAAGAAGGTATTCCATCAACTTATACATTAGAAGAAGCTGAAAATTTTGAAAATGGTAAAGATGAAGAATTAAAATCTACTACAACTCCATTACATATCATATGCTCTAATTTACCAAATGATTTAAACAAAGATGAAGAAACTGTGGTTTCTGAAATGATTGATGAATTGTTTAGTTATGGTGCTGGTTGGAATTTAATTGATTCAAATGGTGATACTCCAGGTGATATATTATTTAAACAAAATAAACAAAATTCAATTTTTTATGAAAAATTCGTTGATGCTGGTGTTAGAGCTGAAATTTTATTAAGAAAAATTAATGATGATATTGAATTTATAAGTGATGAAGAATTTGAAGTTCCTGAAGCGGTTGAAGAAGAACAACAACCAGAAGAAGAACAAGAACAACAACAGGAACAAAAAGAACAAATAAATCATGCACCTGAAGTTCAACAACAAGAAATTTCCCAAGAAGAATTCAATCGTATTAAAAATGAATTAGAATCAGATCCTGCAAATACTCAAAAAACTTATCTTGAAACAAAATTAGAATATAAAAATGGTGCATTAATAACAAAAGATAATTTAGATGGTGTTATGATGGATTGGGAATATGAATTAATGAAAGCAGGTTGTGAAACAATTTTCAAATCAACTATACCAAATGATGATAATAAAGAAGATATAAATGAAATTAATATTTTGAATATAGGTTTTGGTATGGGTATAATAGATACAATGATTCAAGAAAAAAACCCAACTCATCATTATATATCAGAAGCTCATCCTGATGTTTTAGATAAATTGAAAAAAGATGGTTGGTATGAAAAATCTAATGTTACTGTATTGGAAGGTAGATGGCAAGAAACTTTACCAAATTTATTAAATGAAGGTGTTTTCTTTAATGGGATTTATTATGATACTTATAGTGAACATTATGAAGATATGTTAGAATTATATGATATTATAGTTGGTTTATTAAAACCAACAGGTATTTTTTCATTTTTCAATGGACTTGGTGCTGATAGACAAATTATTTATGATGTTTATAAAAAAATTGTGGAATTAGATTTAAATAATTATGGTATGGATGTTAAATATACTGAATTGAAAACTCCAAATACTACAGCTGAAGATATGGATAATACTGATGAAAGTGAATGGATTGGTATTAAAAGAGCTTATTGGAGATGTAAAACTTATTATCATCCAGAAATCAAATTTATTTAAAAATGATATCTATGTGTATTATTAATATAAAGTTTTTGCATTGTACCATAACTTGTATTATTCCCATTTAATGATTTAATAAATAAATCACCTGCAAAATAAATTCTAAAATCTAATAAATTTAAATTATTTTGGTGTTTAATTGTTTTATCAAATAATTCTAAAATGTTTAAATAGATTATTTTATAACTTAAAGCTGCTTTATAATCTTTAAATTCATTAATTGGTAAACAAAAAAAATTATTTGATAAAGTAGCTGCTTCTTCAAGATATTCATTTATATTGGAAAATTCTTGTCCCATTAAATCAAGATTTTTCAATCTTTTCGAAATATAAACCAGATGAATAAATCTTCTTGAACTAAATAAATTATGAAAAGGGAATGAATCACTTGAAGGTATATCAATCTTTTTATGATTCCAACCATATTTTTCTAATTCAACATCTCCTGTAATTGAATATCCATAATCATTAATTCTAAAATGATCAAGTATAAAAGGATCTAATATTTTTTCAAAACAAACCCAATCAAGATAAATTTTCTTAATGTAATTACCTTCAATTAATGTATCTAAAGTTAATGCTAAAAATTTATTAAATTTTAATAATCCACTTATAACTGTTATACCTTTATTATAAGATTGATTTGTAAGTTCTGATTCTGGATCTGACTTCTTTGATCTTAATGAAGAATCAAATTTTAATTTATATCCAGATGCATAATGACCCAGTAATTCCACAATTTCTCTTTGTCTATCATGAATACTTATAATGAAATAAATTTTTGAATATAAAGTTTCATAACATGAATCTTTTAAAGCATGACAAGTTTGAGCTAAGGATATGATTGATTTTTGGTTTAAAAAAAATTGAATTGTTTGTAATATATCTATTGGTAAATCTTCAAATAACATTTTGAAAGTTAAAATTTCAATGCGAAATGTGTAAAGAGCTTAATATGTTTGAATTAAATTTGCAGCTATATTTAACCAGCCAATAAAATGATGAAAAAACAAGTTGATATAAAAAAACAGCTCTCTATAATATTCTATTGGTTATAATTATGCTTTATATGAAGAATTGATCCAAATATATTGGTTTGAAAATTTTGAAAATTTTGGATTTTGAAGATTATGGACCTAATAAATTTTAATTGTACTTTAAAATTGAAAATCTTGAAAAAACTCAATTTTTTTTCCTTCAAATTTCACAAATACAATGTCACCATGGTAATAGTTAAGTAATTCTACAAATAATAAGCTATTTTTCAATATATGTTTATTATTTTGGTTTTGTGTAATTTGAATCTGTAAATTTTGTACTCTGGAAAATTTCCAATCTTTGTGTCAACTTCATCTCCTCGGGGTTTAAAATCTTAAAATCCCGGGGCAAGTGACACTTATGTAATCTAAACGCCTGGGATGACTAATCATAATAGGGTATACCCTTAATTAAAAAAGTTTTTAACGTGTACAAGTAAAACTTTATTTAAAGATGATCATGAGATGTTTTAGATAGAATCAAAATAAGATTTAAAGAAGAAGTGTGTATTTACAAGAGTTAAGAATATCTAAGTCATAATCGATGACTATACTGACTTGTATATGGTTTAAGCTTTAAAGTATTTACTTTTATGGCACTGAGTTAATGATCATGGTATATGACCTAGCTCTTTGCTGATAAGAATTATTGATAAGTACCCAAGTAACCAAATCATTGCACCGAAAGAGAAAATTAATTTCCCCAAAGTTGTACAACATATTCAAAGTACTTCACGTACTTAATTAACTCAACAAAAAAAATTTCGTGATTTTTATCGGGTCATGCAAACCAACTTAATTAAACGCTGACGAGTATAATTTTAAAAGTTCTTTTGAAAGGCACTGTCTGGGCTAAGTAAGTTGATAAGTGTCAGAGCTCAGAGGTATACAATTTGAAAAATTATCGTGTTTTTAAGTGGTTATACTGATCAGTTTTAAGGACCCCTGTTGATCGTGATAATACTTCTCAGATGTTTTCTTTGTTATCATTTTCTATAACAGGTACGATACCAGTATTATGTAAATCTCTATAAATATTCACACTAGTGTCAATCAATTTCACTAATGTTTAAAACCAGTACAACAGCACAACAGCTAGTTATATAACAGCTGGTTTATGTGTCTTTCTTGATGAGTGATTAACGTAAAATTTCCAGTTTTCAAGGTCCCAATTTATTGATGAACGCGATAGCCCAGTGCCCACAATAATTTAAAGCACAAGAACTTAAATAATAAATATACACGGGAAAGATACCTATTTATTGAAAGAAAATTAATAAAAGATACGCGTTTAATCTAAATTATCACTCCTTAAATCTCCCTTTTCTCATTATTTTTGACTCGTTAGGCAGGATTCTCTGCCTAATTCGAAAAACCGAACCCAGAGTTTTTGCCCACCCGGTAAATGCACTCTGTGGGGGCTGCGTTAGAAGTGACTCAAACAAAGAAACAAGAAGAACTCGTTGAGACTTGAGACATATTAATTTGAATAGTTGAATACTATTTAAACTAATTTTTGATGGATCTCTGTTATCCATAAACTAATAGTATCCTTTATCTTTTGGTAATAATCTAATGTTCTTGTATGCTTGATTACTTAGTTGTACTTTATGATATCAGTTTATTTGCACCTTTGAACCTTGAAAGTGTCAAAAAAATCGCGTAAATTAGTATTATTCTAGACTTTTTTTTGCGCTTTCGTTCAAATACCAATTTCAAATAATAAATTGGTTTGCTAAAAGGAATTAAAAGTACTGGATTTTTGGTGACTTTCATTGATTTACTAGACAATTCTTTTTGCCAAACTATATGGGCCTTCATTATTGCTTTTTACAATTAAAGTTTACAGAGGCTATAGGCTAGGCTTTTCTTTTGTGCTAATTTTGGAATATTCATCTTCCTTAATTGGAAGTACCATATCCAGGTTTTAACTCTTCAAGTTTTTCTATATAAGTGATGATATTCCTTTAAACTTTTTGTTTTCTTAAAATATTTCTTTCTGAACCATCTACTATTAGACTATAAAATTATACACAATGAAATCATTCACTTTAATCTCATCATTGGCCTTACTTTCGCTTGCTAACGCTCAAGTTTCAAACTCTACTGGTGGTGGTGCCGTCGGTGGCTCAAACTCTACCACTGGTGGAGGTGCTGGTTCTTCAAACGGTACTGGTGGTGCCGGTGGTGTTGGTGGTTCTAATGGTACTGGTGGTGCTGGTGGTTCAAACGGTTCCGGTGGTGCTGGAGGTGACTCTTCATCAGTCTCAACTGCAGGTGCTAACCAATTTGGTGCTTCAAGTGTCGCTTTTGCTGGTGTTGTTGGTGCTGCTGCCGCTTTATTGTTGTAAGCTCTGGATTAGCCAATGTGACAATTCAAATCAAATTGAAACCAAAATTTTTTATCAAGATGTACTAATATTTTAAACGTCATGGATATACTATTTTAATTATTTTATTCTTAATACTTAATTCTCTATAAGGAACTTTGTTTTTATATAATTTAGAGATATTTTAATTTAATTTTTTATACTAATGGACAATATTAATGTAGCGCTTATTGTACTAGATGGTGACAGGTGTGATGGACAATCTAACTACTAACTAAACTAGTTGATACCTTCTTGACTTCTATATCTATATCTCATGTTGATCAAAAAGTAGAACTGATTTAGGTACTTTAGTGTATGCATACATTACTTCTTCGTTTATCTCATGAAATTATAACATTGCTATTGCTTGAACAATAATATAAGCAAGACGTGTAATTTTATTCAGAAATTAAATCTATAAACTGACCTGAAATGGTTAAAGTAGACTAATAGAAACTACATAGTCTATTGACCATACATACAAATATCCAATACAATGTCTTTGAGTTGATGTTATTTGGAGAGTGTTGATGTGTTGATGTTTGCTAAGATAACGGGTAATGGAGTCATGATAATATTAATATTAAAAATTCGTGAATGTCTAATATGGTGAAAATTTCTTACACGTTATCAATCTTGACAAACTACAATCACATTAAATCTGAATTAAAATTGGCAATAACACGAGCACTTGGATTGAAAAGATCTTTGTTTTAAAGCGAAGGTTGGTTTGATCTTCGAGTAAAGATAGGTCGGGTCATCCATGCATTTTTGTTAGCGTGGTATTCTAATCCCTGGTGAGTGAATTCAATACTTGAATATCATATATGTAATTTGATTTGAATCAAGTGATTGAATAAGTAAGTTATTGTTTTAATAGTTCAAATGTGTTCATATTATACTTCAATGTATTGATATATGACCATTTTACTCCAAAATAAACAATCATCATTTTCCTATAATATTGTAGACAAAACCTATATAATCATTCTGCTACAGAGTTCTTGTTTATAAAATCATTAAAAACTATTCATTAATTAAAAACACTATATTTAAACAATATAATTAAACTTTTTTTTCTCATTTCCATAATTGATTGAATCAAGTTCCTCCCCATATAAAATTCAAATAAAACAATAATAAAAACCACACAACATATACATAAAATTCATTAAATCAAAAGAAAAAAAATACTAATCATTAAAACCAAGCAATAAAACAAAAAAAAAACAATACAAATTCATTAATTGATGTGATTAAAGTTAATCACCAACGATAGAAGACTTGTTCAGTATCTAAACTAAATTCATCGTTATTGTCATATTCATTAACCCATACAGGATGTTGATAATTTGCCTTACCAAAACCTAAATCTAATGCAGTTGGTTGAGTTAATGGATTAGTATTATTTGTATTAGTATTTGTTGTTGTAGTATTGCTTAAAATTGGTGAAGTATTTGTTGTACTTATTGGAGGAATTGAATTTGAATTTGATAAATTTCTTGATCTTGGTGATTCATCTTCATTAAAATCCTCAACACTACTTGAATCTTTATGTTGTTGTTGTTCTTTTATTGAACCTTGTTGAGATTCATTAACATTTGGAAATTCATAATTACGTCTTCTTGAATTTTTAACACGACCTTCATAACCTTTTGGTAATGATTCGCATTCACCATTTTCAATATGATTTTCAACCCAATCTTCATTACTTTTATAAGGTTTAAAACACATTCCACATTTTCCTGGTGTATTTGAACGATCCTGAGATCTTGTACCTTGAGGATATTTGAAATGTCTAGCTTTTAAATGAGTTTTATAAGTATCACGACGTGAAAATCCACCATTTGGATGACATTTATTTTCAGATTTTGGATTGAAAAAAGGACATTCATAAGCTTTATTTATTGCATGTTTTTTAATATGACGTGTTAAATAACCTTTAATTCTAAATTCTGAATTACAATATTCACAAACATAAACTTTCTTACCATTATTATTGGTTGTTGATGATGTTGTAGTTGTTGATTGTGGTGATGTTGTAGTTGATTGTGGTGTATCAATTTCTTGTGAAGAATTTGATTTTATATCGAAAAAATCAGGATGTGGTAAATCTGGAATTAAATCTAATGAATGATTAGAATTTGAATCATTATCTTCTTCATGATCATGGTCATGGTCATGTTCTTGTTCAATATTTGAATTTGATCTTGAATCTATTTCATTATGCTTATGTTGATTATTAATATTAAAAGGGGATGGTGTATTTGTTTGACCCAAGAATTTTGGTGATAATTCATCATGTGAACTTATAGTAGAACCAGTAGAAGTTAAAAATGGTGAAGTTAAGTTATGATCATTATTATTATTGGCATCATGATTGATTTCCCAAGATATTGAACCATCAGAATTTATAATTTTATTCAATTTATTAACTTCCATTGAACATGGTTTAATTTGAGTGGAATTTAATTCATTATATTGTAAAGACTTTGGGAATAAATCAATTGTATCATCATTTTTTGATTCTTTATTTGATTTTAAAGATTTATTACTTTGTTTTGTTGAATCTTGTTTACGGGTGATGTTTTTAGATGGCAACACCCCATTAAGAATCTTTAAATTGCACACGTAATGGTATAAGCTATTAATATAGCCAAAAAGAGAGATATGGCTCTCTGTAGTAGCACTCATCTTGCCTGACTGTTGAACCCTAGCAAAATCAGAGAATGTTTGAACGTTTGTTATGGTATTTGTTGATTACTTTTCAGTAAAACCCTTTCAAATTCAACCTGAAGTTTTGAGTATTTTAAATTTAATTGTATTTTCACCAAAAGATTTTCGTTTGTTTTTTTCGAATTTCAACGACTTTTTTCGTAATTTTTTAAAAATGCGAGAATTGCGCAAATATTTTACAAAGAGTCTAAGACAATTTCCTAAAATAGACTTCTTTGCGCAAAAAAATTTGAATAATTTGAAAAAAATTTAAAAAAATCATACGGCAATTTTACAAATTTGTGAAAACCGATACAAATGTTACAAAATAATACATAGAAAACATGGGGAAGTAACGGAGTACACAGGTAGTTTAAGTTATATAGCATTCTACCATAGAGGCTTTGAATTAGTGATTTAATTGTTTGATCTGAAGTTTATGGTGTACCAGACTTCTCTCATTAGTAGTCATTACTTATTGTCGTAATTTGTTTCAAATTCCAAGCCTTAACATGATAAAGTCAGAATAGTCCTTGGAATTATTTACAGGCTTATTTAGAAGCTTTCAGGCTTACAAGTTACAAGTTACAAGTTACAAGTTACAAGCTTACAACTAGTTACAAGTTACAACTTTGAAGTTTGAACTCTTTTTTGCTGGCGCGCAATTATAAAGCTATTTTTGGTAAAAATATGGCATACTTTTTTCTAATGCGGAGCTGGTTGGGGGACTCGCGGGCCCGGATTACTGCATTGGGTAATTGCTATTGTACAAAAATGCGCAAATTCATCATGATTACGTAAAGCTCATGTGACGCATCACGTGAATATGTATTTATATATATAAATCAAGTTTTTAAATAAAATCAAACATTCTCCAATTCAATTCTATTTCTTTCTCTTGTTTCTTCTTCTTCTTTCCTTATTCTTTCTAAATATCTATAATAATTATACCAGAAAATATCAAATAATGTTATAAGTAAACCAATAAAATTTATAAATGTTAAACGATCTTTAAAAATTATTGAACTAACCAGAATTGTTAATAATTCTTTCAGAATACCTGCAATACTTAATGTAATAACTTGAGCTCTTTGTAATATAGCAAATTCAAAAATTGTCATGAAAAATACTAAAAAACCTGGGAATAATAATAAGATTAAAGTTTTCAAAATACCTCTTTCTGACCAAATTGATGCATTAATGAAATTTGACATCCCTTCGATACCTAATCCAATCAAAAATAAAACTAAAAACATTGAAGGAGATAATTGATATATAGTAACAATTGGATTTTTTTTACCCTTTTGTTGTTGATTTTTATGTAATAATAATTGAGTGAAAACCCATCTAAGACCACTCATACAACTACTCATTAATACTAAACCAAATCCTAAATAAAAATGATTTGATCCAGAATCTGAATCTGATGTTTGCCCTTTATCATTATCAACCATTAACATAACACCAAATGACATAAGTAACACTATACCTAATAAATTTAAACTAAATTTTTCTAATTTAAATAAAACTCCAAATAATAAAACAAATGCTATACTTGATGATTTAACCATTGTATATGTGGTTAATGAAATGAATCTGAAACTCATATTACCTGATCCGATATCACCAGAACTTGCCATTGCACAAGGTAATATATGGACCAGGTAAAATTTCCAATCAAATTTTTGATTTTCATTTTGATTTTGTTGTTGATTTTCTTCAATTTCTTCATATGTAGATGATGATGGAATTGGTTGGTTTGGCCTTATTGAAGGTTTCAATTTGATTGTTATGAATGATAATATAGATAACAGCAATTGATGAAATGAAGTTATTAATATTGGGAATGGTAAATTTAATTTTGATTTATCAAACATCCATTTATTATATAATGAAATTGTTAATGAAAAGACATACCAACCTAAAATACAAAAAATCAATTGAATTATAGTTGGTGTGATGAATTTCTTTGTGGTAGAATGAATTGATTTCTTTAAATCATCATCATCATTCTCATTATTATTTGATATTAATGGTGCTTCAGAACTTTCAGCTTGGTTATTTTCATCAATATTAAGGTCTGGTTTTGGAGTATTTGAAGAGATGATGGAAGGTCTCCTATGGATTTCTGTCTGCGACGAATTGATCGCGCGCCCTGATTCAGCCATTCTATGTGTTAAAAGTGAATGATAGTTCTGTATAACTGTACTAATGATGATGATATGATGATGTTATCAATATGGAAATCTGTCCATTTCAAGTAAATAATAATATTCGCGTTTCGCGCATTTCGCGGTATAAAATAATACGTTCAAAACAGAATAATAAACACTAAATTTGAACGTTATACTCCAAGATAATCCAAAGACAACTGACTCGTGAGACTATGTACTTACTAAACCCATTAACATAGTATTCATTATACTTTTCCACAAGTATTGTCTATTAATAGCATCACTTTCGGCTCTCGGTTCTCGAAGGGTGCGCGGGCGGCGGAAGTATACTTTTGTGGGTTTTGGAAATCTACATCTGCGTTTTCTTCGTAAAGTAAAAAAAAACCAAATTCGCACTTTTTTCCTACTAAAAAGAAAACATAGAAAACGTTTGAAGGTTATTTTATTTTGTATAAGAAGACACCATCAGATCTAGGAATAACTTGGGTTCAGCTTATTTCAAGTACTGGTTCAAAGTGGTATAGTCAAAGTTTACACTCAGATACACACAAGTCCTCGATCAAAGATGCTAATAACCATATTCAAGTTACTAGCGGCTCTGCCCATGGTATTTGCTGCCTCAGACGCTTCTTCATCAACAACAGCTTCTTCAATATCTACAAATACTTCTCAAAAAGATAATAGTCGTGATAATATTAAATCATCTGCATCCTCATCTTCATCTTCATCTTCAAATTCAAGTTCAAGTTCAACAAATTTATCCCCCTTCCCTACTGTCCATGGGTTTTCTGATAATGGAAATGTTTATTCAGTTAACGTATCAATAGGTAATCCAGCTCAAGATTTACAATTAAGAATAGATACTGCACAACCTTATATATGGGTGCCCGATGGGAACTACATCAAACCTTGTTCTGAAGTGAATAGTTCAGAAGTCATTTGTGCCTATGTTGGGTCTTTCAAAAGTCAATATTCAGATACTTATCATTCAGATAATTCATCAATATCCTATGCACTTATCGATGGCATTGTAGCAAATGGTACTGTCGGTGAAGATAGTTTTGTTATTAATGATGTTGATGGTGGTAATGTAACTAAGAATATAACATTAGATTCTACCAATTTCATAAATTCTAATGATAGTACAATAGGAATTGGTGGATTAGGTCTTGCTGGTGAAATTCAATTAAGTCCTTTTGGTGATAATTATAACGCTCAATTTTTAGAATTATTAAAAGATGCAGATCATATAAGTTCAAATTCTTATTCTTTATACGTTAAAGATAATGAAACTGCAGAATTAATACTCGGTGGGATAAATCAAGATTATTATCAAGGTGATTTGGTTTATTTTGACAAAATCCCATTTTATGATATTGGAAATGGGAAATTATCGTATAGTTATCCTGTTGTTCCATTAAGTGGTCTTTCTGTTTCAAATAATGAAGGAAACACATTTTACATCTCAACTTCAAATGATACTGAACCTGTTATGTTTGATACAAGATCAACTAGAAGTTTCTTACCTTATAACATGATTGTTCAAATTGCTGTTCAGTTAAATGCTTTCTACTCAGAAGATGATGATGTTTGGTTTTTAAGATGTGATATTGCAGAATTAGGCGGTACTATAAATTTCCAATTTGGTAATTTAACAATCCCATATCCAATTGAAAAATTAATTTTGGATTCTCCTTATGTCTTTACTGATGGATCAGAAGCTTGTGAATTAACAATCCAACCAAATGATTATTTCGGTTATTCTGTATTTGGTGCAGCTTTCTTAAAAGAAATTTATCTTGTCGTTGATAATGAAGGTGATAAAATTGCCCTAGCACAAGCTGCAAACCCAACAAGTTCACATTCTTTAACAAACCATTCAACAACTGAATATCACAAATCTGCAATTTCATCGGGTTATATTCCATTTGCAAAACCAAATAACATTACACAATCATATTCATTTAGTTATAATTTCAATAGAAGTGCTTCAAGTTTCCAACCTGATGTTATAACTGCAAGTATAACAGGTAATGAAATCTACACTGGAAGAACTCCACAAACAAATACAACTTCACAAGAAAGCTCAACATATACTGCGGCTGCAAACAGATTGGATCATTATCCAGTAAACGTCCAATCAAATTCATTATACATGCTCATTTATACTTTCTTGGGTGTTGTTGGGATTGGTTTATTAATTTGAATATAAAAAGTTTTTGACTCTTTATTTAATGTCATCTACGTCTTGTTTGTCCATTTGTGTGTTTATTTCATTCCATTTAATTGTTTTTTTATTTAATAGGTTGATTAGTCCGTTTCTTTCATTTTACTAATTGCATAATAGCATAATAATTACATAAAATCATCATATAAATAACTTCTAATATAGAAAATCTCATATAATTTTATCAATAGTAATATAATCACGATAATGTAGTTATATGTTGAATGATTCGCTGATCAATGCTCAATGCTTATGTATGAGGAGGTCGAGGCTAATTTCGGGATTTACAAGAGCGCGAAAAGCTTCGGGGAAAGTTTGTCACAATCTTTTATACTTATCAAAACTATTAGTATTAATAACAACTTAGAAGTATTAGATATATTAAAATTAGTTTTGGGATAACTGCAGATTAATTAAAGGTTCCAGAGAAGAGAATACGATACAAACAAGAACACCAATCTTCCAAAATGAATCAACTTCAGGCTTACTTACACTCAAAAGTAACAACAATTTTATCACCAGCCCCTTCATTACAAGACACAGATTATGAAATTGATGAACCTTCTTTGTCAATCCATGATAAGATAATATCACAACGTCAAGCTCAGAAAGGTTGTGACTACTCTAATTTTACTACCCCTGTGAAGCAAAGAATTAAATCACCAAGTTCAGACTATAGCAATTCAAGTAATTCAACAATTGAAATCCCACCAAGAAATGGCTTCCAAAATACACCGAATCATTTCAAAACTAAATCTGCCAATGGTAACTTAGAACTTGATGATGAAACTTTAAAGATTAGACAATTTGTCGATATAAAACAAATGTTAAGATCGTTAAGAAATTTGGAAAATTTGATAACTGAACCTAATGTTGATTATGAATTTTTTAAAAAAACGTATATTGAATCAAGTTATGGTTTGATAAATTCAATGAATGACACTTCTGGTCCAGTAACACAATATCAGCAGAATCAGAAACCACAGCTTCAACAGAATTATCAGCAACAACAAAAGGCTTCAACAAGATTGGCTCAAACGTCTTTACCTAAAGAAATTGAATCTCGTGATCTAATCATCAAAATTGGAATTGTTGGGGTTCAAATCTTGGTTGTATTGATTGATTTATTAACTCCAATTTGTGTCCAGGTTATAAGTTTTGGGAAAACTTTATTGGGGAATGAATTAGTACAAAAAATGTTGAATGTGGTGGTGGAGATTATTTGGGTTACTTTGAGTATAACTCTAGATTATTTAAAAAGATTTCAACACAAAACTGAGCAAAGAAGGCTCAGTCGATGATGATAGAACACTTAAATTCTACACCAATCATGCATTAACGATCACAACTTTTGTATAATTACTTTTTCTATTATATATATGTTTTCTTTTCCATTTCAAAAGAAATAGGTTAAATGTTCAAATATCTTTGTGCCAAGTTAACATCTTCGAGACTTACTTCTTTTGATTTGATAACTTTATCCTGTTCTATTTGATCTTTAATTTGCTTATGAACATTAGTTAAAAATTCTGTATAACTTTGTGTTTTATCTAATGTTTTATCTTCAACTAATAAATCTGCAATTTCAAATTCAGAACCATCAATACCAACTCTACATAATTGATATGTTAAAGTGTTGTAACCCAATTGAGTTTTGTAAAAATTGATCAAATTTCTTGCTTGTAATGAGACATGTGTGTTCAATTCTGGTAATTCATTTGTTAATGGTGATAATGCTTTTAAGTCTTCAACGCCTAATAAATCTTTAACTAATAGTTCATTAACTGCATTATGAATCCATAAATATAACTTTTCTCCATTAAATATGAAATATGCACCTCCATAATCTAAATTTTGTAATGATGCTTTTGAATTTATTGGTAAATTGAAAAAACCTGTAGTTTCATCATAAATACAATCATCTTCAGCTAAACTGTGTAGTGGAATAACTCTTGGGTATAGTTTTAATAATAATTTATCTAATGTGAGAGAATTTAATTGATAATAGTCATAAATTTTAGAATTATTTGGAATTGAAACTCTAAATATTTTGGATTTTTGGAATGAATTAATATATGAAATAATAGTTTTCAAACTATCCGGGAATATCAACTGAGTTGGTAATGCATTATTTTTAACAACTAATCCACGATATTGTGTGAATACTTCAACTAATTTATGAGTAGATGAAACTTTGATTTCTGTTGCATGTTGTTTACTAAAATAACTCAAACAATCTTTAATGATAATATCCAAGACAACATCTTGATCAACAAATGCAAATACATCTTTAACATCTTTTGTAACAGCTGCAACCATATTTACAACACGAACTCTTCTTCTACCATCAATACCTGTATATAATAAAGCAGCTTGGAAGTGAGCATCTTCTTTTTCATTTAATTCATCATCATATTGGAATAATGCTGAAAATTGTTGTTCAGATCCAACAACAGGGATTTTTGGATCCACAGAAGCCTTGGAATCAAAATTACCATAATATTTAGCAACTTGTAACCCACCTGAACAACGAATTTTCAGTTGACCTTGATAACCTTGTGTACTAGAGACAGCTTTTTTGAACTCTTCATTAAATAAAAATTCATCTCTTTCTTGAACAAAATTGGAGTATAATTTGAGTACACCTCCTGTTTTACTGGTGATTATACCGGAATTTATTAGATCAACAGCACTTTTAGAAATGACAAATAAATCTAAGCTAACATTTTTTTGAACAAATTCATCAGCTAATTTATTATAATAATCATTAGATGTTTTGAAAACTTCAGGACTTGAATCTTTATTGTTTGGATTTAGTAAGGTACCAGGACCTTTACCTGGAATTTTGGTTAAAGTAGCTGTTATTTTACCACCACCAACGGTTCCCAATGCATATAAAGCATATTTCAATGCGGCACCATATGCAACATAAGCTGATTTGAATTCAGCATAGATTTCTTCAATTTTATTTAAAGCATCTTCAATTTGGAAAATATTTTCTTGTGGATCAACAAATAAACCTTCATTTATTGGAACGAATGGATCCTCAAGATCTGATGCGATATGGACTGAACATTGCTCAGATTGAAGATTATAAAACTGTATTCTTTCATCATATGTGATGATACCAACTTTGACACCAGCAGGTATAGATTGTAATGTTGATCTAACAGATTCTGTAGTTGATTTGATAACTTCATTTGGAGCACTAACATCAATTAAGAATACATGATGCAAAGTATTAGGTTGAACACCTTCTTCTTCCCAATAACTATTTGGGACTATAAAATCCACAGTTCCCTTATGCAATTCAGGTCTTAATGGGGCATCCATTCTGCGCCCACTAACATCTAAAGGTGATTGATATTCATATGGCAATGGTGTTGGAAATTTACACATGTTACAAACCATCTTATTATCATGAGTGAAAGCCATACCTGGATTAACATATGTACGACAACGACGACAACGAGGTGGACCCTCAATTTGTGTTAAATCAACTTCTGGAACAGGTTCTTCGTTGTATTCAGAAGGAGCAAATGGGCGAACTGTTAAACCTAATGGTAATTTTGTTGAATTTCTCAATGCTTCAGAGGATGGAACATTGTACATGGAGAGTCTCATGAATCTTGGACTAGCAGTACCTTGATCAACAGCAGTGAATTTTGTTGTAGCAGTTGGAGGGACGGTATTTTCAAATGTTTTGAATGGTGTAAATGCGTATTCATTTTCTTGAATTTTTCTTTGATATGGAACAGATAACGAATCACCAGAGTTTTCAGGTTGAACAGAATTGTAGCTTGGTTGAGTAGGAGCTGATGGATCACCAAATCCTGGTGTTATTGGAGCACCAGCAACAGGAATGCCTGGGGTAAAAGAATTTGGTGTACCTCCAACTTGAGATGCAGCTGGATTGAAAGTTTGAGTTGAGTCAACCGGAGTCTGGAAAGGTTGTTGTAGACCAAATTGTTGAGGCGGTACAGGTGATTGGAATTGAGCTTGAGCTGCATTATTTTGATTCAAATCATGGTAAGCTCTAGCTGGCCTCTTCTTTCTACCGGCAGTAGCACCTGGAGCAGCAGCGACTGGTTGTTGTGCTTGTTGTTGTTCAATATTCAAATTTTGAACACCGTTAGCCAATTGATCCATTGATTGGTTTGGATATGGATATGACATGGTCTATATTCTCAGCAGAAACGGGTCTTCTTTCTGAGCAGCAGCAAACTATGACAAACTGAGGGCTTCTAAGTTCTAAATTGTACCTTTTTATTGTCTCTGTTTCCTCAACGATTCTTTGTTGTTTATTTGTCTTTTTCAAAATCTCTGATCTAAATTCATTTTGGTCGCGACTTTAAAAAAACAATTTGTACGCGTAAAAAGTAAACAATCAAAAGCTTAAAAAGTTAAAACCAGATCTCTTTGGAAAGTTGGATTGAGCTGGGAAGAACCGTTCGAGTGCTGCGAGAGGATTGTTTGGACTCTATATAATGGGTGTTAAGGGGCTTTTGCCACAGTTGAAGAGCATCCAGGAGCCTATGACGCTCGAGAGGTACAGAGGGAAAAGATTAGCCATTGATTCATATGCTTGGTTACACAGAAGTTCGTTATCATGTGCATGGGAGTTGGCTCAAGATTTAGAAACCACAAAATACATCTCATTCTTCAAAAAGAGAATCATGATGCTTAGACATTTTGAAATAGAACCATATTTTGTGTTTGATGGGGATAATTTCAGTAGTAAAAGTGATACTGAACTGGAGAGGGAGCAGAAAAGACTAAAAAACAAAGAAAAAGGTTTAGAATTACTGAGAAATGGTGATAAGAAGGGTGCTTTTGAATTTTTTTCCAAAAGTGTTGATATAACGCCAGCCATGGCAAAAGCTGTTATTGAATATCTCAAAGAAGAAAAAATTAAGTATATTGTTGCACCATATGAAGCAGATCCACAAATGGTTTACCTTGAAAAATTAGGGTTGGTTGATGGGATTATCAGTGAAGATTCAGATCTTTTGGTCTTTGGTGCCCAACATCTATTGACAAAATTGAATGATACTGCACAATTTGTTGATATCCGGAGGGAAAATTTCAAGAATTGTAAAGAAGTTCCAATTGGTCTCATTGATGATTCTCAATTAATAATGGTGGCATGTTTAAGTGGGTGTGATTATACTTCTGGTGTGCCAGGTGTTGGTATAGTGACTGCTTTTAAATTAGTCAAGAGATTAGGTACTATGGATAAATGTTTGATGAGTTTGAGACTTGAAGGTAAATCTAATGTACCACAAGGTTTTCAATTAGAGTACAAAAAGGCAGATTTATCATTTAGATTCCAAAGAGTGTTCAATCCAATCACGAATGAAATATCAACTTTGAACGAAGTACCTCAATTGATGAAATCAGATGAAGAATTGTTACCTGAATGTATTGGTCCATTACATGATAATGATATTCACTTCAAAGTCGCAATGGCTGAGTTAGATCCAATATCTAAAGATACATTATTGAGTAGAGAAGTCTCAATTAAATCTCAATCGTTCAATGTCATACAAACTCCTATCAAACCCGTTCCAGTACAAGAAAGGGTTGCTAAAAGATCCTACTCAACACCTGTTATTAAAACCAATAATAAAAAAAGTATTGATTCATTCTTCAAGAGTGTACTAACTTCACAAAAGAAAACAAATACAGAAACCCCCGTGGCCAGAAGCTCAACGGTTCCTTCAATTACAAATGATCATAGAGTTTTAACACCTAAATCGTTATCACCAACTTCCAAAAGAAGAAAGATGTTTAATACACCACTGATAAATCCAACAGAGATTCCTTCATCAAGTAAATTCTTTTCCTCAAAGAAACCAGCTCTGATTACTAAAGGTACTACAACCAATATATTAAATTCACCAGAGTCATCAAGTCCGGAGCTACAACCTACAAAGGAAATACCGATATTGGGAAACAATAGTATTTTGCCTGATAATATTGATGAATTATCTGTTATAGAGAAACCAAATACATCAAATCTTGAATTCAAACTGAAAAGCTTATCAAATGTTAATTCAAGTGATTTCGAGCTGACAGATCCAGACGATGACGATGAAGAGCAATCTGGAGCAGACAATAGCATTGGGAAAATCAGAGAACATGATTTATTTGGAAAGAAGGAGCAAATCAATGATAAACTTCGGGAAGAGATACCTTCAAATACTCATGTCTCAAATCATGCTGAAATCACTAAAGGACTTTATAAAAAATTCGGGTTCAATAGCTCTTCAAGTTCACAATTCACCACATCAGGAAGGGAAAATAGTTCCAGATCCAAACCGTTAAAATCTATACAACACAATGGAAAAATCAGATCCAATACATCAACGCTGAAAACTAAACGAGGCATTACACGAAATTTTACATTAGATAGTTTTATTTATAGAGGTCCATAAGAGGACTCCGAATGAGGTACAATCATCACAAATCACAAACTGCATATCAATCATTCAATAGCATTAATGACATATATATCATCGATATACAATCAAACATCACACAGTTCCAACGTAGTTTAAACAATGCAATTTTGTTGATATCGCCGGTATATACGACTGTCATCTGTCTCCGTGTAAGTATTCCTTTTTTTTGCGCCCGCCCACATAAAAAGTTGCCTGATCTTTAAAATCATACGATAAAGAGAGAATAATGAGCATTTCTGGTACATTTCTTGATTCTCAAAGATTCCAAAGCAAATGGGAGCTTAAATTTACAATGATATGTGTTCAGAAGGAACGAGAGCCGGTTTCTGGAGGACTTTGTGCAAAACTTTCAATCTTGAACTTCTCAACTTCTTCAACAATCTGATATTTACTATATACATCATCAACAAACAGCCGCTAGCTTTCCACACGTATAATCAAGAAGGTTAGAAAGATGTCATATGCCTTTGAAGACTACGATGCCTTTTTGGCGTCATTCAACAACAGCAACAACAACATTTCGTTCAAGAACGGGTATCAACAGAACCTACAACAATCTGCCGCTGGTATAGCTCATAATTCATCAATGAGTAATTCCATCACTTCTGTTGAAGAAGAGCTTGGTATCCTAGATCCATATTATGACTATACAACTGCTGGTAATAGCAATAATAATATCAATAATGTCAATGCTGATCTATATTTATCACCAGATTCATTGGTCAACACTTCAAGCTCAAACTCACCAAATGAGTTCAATCTTAACGGTAATGGTAATGATATCAATGTTGGTAATGAAAATGGTGATTTCAACTTTGAAGAAGAAACCAATCAAGATTCCCAAGTTAAAATTGAGTCAAATTCAAGCTCATCTGTAACTTCACCAATTTCACATAATAATAACAAAGTTAGGTTAGCTGATGCTGTACCACATTCATCCATCTCCAAGCGTATTCCAAAGAAGGAAAAATCATCCCATAATATGATTGAAAAAAGATATAGAACTAATATCAATGACAAGATCAATGCCCTTAGAGATGCTGTTCCAGCTTTGAGAGTTCTAGTTGATAGTGGTGATGATGAAGTTGATGATAATGAATTGGATGGTTTACAACCAGCAAAGAAATTGAACAAGGCTACAATTTTATCAAAAGCTACTGAGTATATCAAACATTTGGAAAACAAGAATGAAACATTAAGAAAAGAAAATGAAAACTTGAAAAATAGATTATATGGTATTGGTAATGGTCTTGTCACACCAGAAGGTTCTGCAGAGTCTTCAAATTTCCAATCAGAACCAAGACAAATCTTACAAAGAAACAATACAACACCAGCATATAATGGTGTAAATAATGGTAATTATCAAAACCGTGGATATGCAAACAAGTTCTTATTAGGAGGTTTAGCATGTATGGTTGGTGCTGGTTTAAATGATGATTTTAACAATGTTGATTCCACTAGATCATTGTTTGCTCTTCCAGTTTTCAGTTTCAATCAACAAGGTGCACAAGTGTTAGGAAAACCATTATTAATTATGTTCAAAGCTTCATTGATTTTATGTGTTTTATTGAATTTTGTTTTCCCAAATATTTTCCAAAATAGAAAAGATAAGAAACAATCACAAACCGATTCAAATATCGATGTTGAAGATATAAGAAATTTATCAAAAGCTTCAATCTGGAAAACTTTTACAAATAATAAAGATGATACAAATAACAATTACATTAAAAAAGCAATGATTAGAGCTATAAAATTGAAGATTTCTACATTAACTCAAGATTTCATTTCACAAAAATTTACAAATTTCTATGTTGAACATTTATGGAATTATTTGAAAAAAGTTAAATTAAATGAAAAAGGACAAGATTATGATATTTTAAAATCTGTTTTATCATTATCAAATGAAGAAACTATTCAAAATGAAAATCATATTAGATCTTTATTACATCAAGAAGTCAAATTAAATGTTGATTCTGAAATTTCAGAAAACATAACTGAACATCCTGAGGATTATAATATAATTCACGTTCTTTACAATTTGATCAACGAATCCCAAACCAATAATATTTTAGCAAAATTCATGAGTGCTACTATTGATTCATCATTTGAACCAAGAGATGCTGAATTTACTGAAAAGAGTATAAATATCGAATTACAAGCTTTATTCAATCCAATTGATGAAAACATTGCTAAATTCAAAGAAACTTTATCAAAATTGAGTGTTAATGATGTTAAAGATGATGAGATCTTCATTATGTATGCATCAATTATTCAAAACTTAATCTTTATTAAAAAAGATTATCAAAGTGCTAAAAAATGGTTCAAAAAAATGGATTTCAAATTAATTAATCAATTTGATTTACTAGGATTCACTTCATTATATATTATAATTTCAAGTATGACAAAATATCAAGAATTATATCAAGATGATCAAGATATAATTTCACAAATTGAAGAAATTTCAGGAATACTGAGAATTTGGCTTGGTAATAATTCAGGTTCAAGTTTAAAATTTGATAAAAGATCTCAATTGATTGAATTTTTTGTCAATGTCAATTTAAAGATCAATGGTTTAGAAACATTAAAGGGTAGAAAAGCTGTTGTTGCTTAAGATAACACTGGTATTCTTGGATTCCAATGATATGAATTAATATACCCTTAACAAATGTGATGATTTTTAATGACCTTTTTTTTTAATTTTTAATTTATTTTTTTGCTTCTTTTTTTTTGTTCATTCTTTTAAAAGATTCAGTTCTGATGTCTTTTTGTACTTTTATATCATACTGTCTATATTTATTTGTTTGAAAAATTTATAACATACATACATACTGTCAACTAATTTAATACATATTTATATTATCTATTGTTAATGCTCTGGTATAATACCAGCTGTAGATTCATTGAGTTTTGTTGAAGGCTAATAAAGTAGTCTTATAAGGGAAGGCTTTATCACTCCTTTACAATATTATAAGCTTCAAAATAGTGGCTAAGCTCATTATTATATATAGAAATATATATGGCTACATGTTATATGGCAACAACCAGGGTTTAATATTTAACGACTTTAACCAGATGGTCATCTGATAGTACAAGCTGTCGTATCATGCTCGTTGCTCAAGTATCAACACACATTATGAGATTGGTGAAGTTTCACATGTCGCTCAATATGTCAAGTGATCTTTGAATTAATCGATGTTGTTTGTATGGATTAGATCAAGTGGTTGCGTGATAATTTTGAATACGAAACTTCGATACAGATTTAATCGATGGAATTAAGAGGTTTATAACACAGTTCCTGTCGACAGCCAAATCCCATAATAGTTATTAGAGCCCTTGTTGATGATTTGGCTGTCTACATTTAGATATTTTGTAAATAATAATGGATATTCAAGGCATAATGGAAGTTTATGGAATTTATCTTGTTGAAGCAGTAGACCGCAGTACCAAGATAATGCTTTTGACGCATCATCACACTAAAATATTATCGTAAGGAACCAAGGTTAAGGTAGCGATTAATGAACAATGGTCAGACTAGTTCTGAGCACTATATATATCTTCTGGAGTGAAATAGCCGGTCATAATCAGCAGTTATTCTAGTGGTTTTTTTATAATTCATGATGATGTGTTTTACTATTATGGTACTGATGTTCTGATAAGATACAATATGTACTTTAATCGCTCTCACTAGTAATAACATCTATAGTTTGTGAGCTTAACTGAACAACATCCAGCTACTATGGCTTTATGTGAGTAGGTCACTACTTTATCAACGACTAAACAGTATTTTGTATGGTTGGAAGTTGGAACTTGGTAACCACTAACTACTAAAGCTTTAAATCTGGATCATCCCACTTTCCGAACATTTCTGTACGATTTAAAACCAAATCTCCAGATTTTAGATCTTTCAACTTTCAAGTTTCAAGTTCCCAATTTCCAAGTCCACCGCTCATTTCCTTATCCGACGGAACATTTTCATATTTCCGAAATTCTTGGCCTCTGTGACTGCTCAGTCCTAATTGGGAAAGGACTCTTTTTTTTCTGGCAAAGCCATGGTGTTCAGATGTTTTTCCCAAGCAAACTCAGAGAACTCTTGTCTCGCGAAAAAGCCATTTTGTGCTCCATACAGTGTCCTTACCGAATATTTTCTTAACTATGGTGTGTGTAGTTGGACTGTTTGGTGAAAAAAAACCTTTTGAACAAAATCAAAAGTATAACGTTTGGTTAGGAAGGATTCTTTTCGATTGATTATCATCCATATTATATTAAAAATGTCATCAAACGTCTCAAAGTATGTACTGGAGGAAAGAAGTAATGGACTATTGTTGGATTAAATGAAGTGAATGTCAATGAGAATGTAAATATGAAGTTCAATGTGTTGTAAAGTGAATTCAATGAAATATCAATGATTGTCCAACGTGTTAAAGATCAAATGAACACTTGAGTCATAATGGATTACACAAAGAGATTGAGTCTACTAGGGTAACGTAAGGGCAAAGGAGTACATCCCATAATCAAAGATTGTTACAATCACTTCATTATTCAAGATTTAAGATAGTTCATGTCAAAAATTCCATAAAGTATCAAAGTACTAACAATATTTTAGCGATTTCATCTGGGCTGTCACCTCAAAACAATCATCATTCTTAGTCAAACGTCCAAACGTTGTCTTATCCCGTGATCCATTAAATGTTTCAGGTAAAAACACCAAAACCTCATCAGGTTTAGTTAACCAAAAAGCTTTCGGTATCACCCAAGACAAAACCGGTGCTATTACTGTTGTTTCAAAATCTGCTAAAAACGCCAACAAACCAGCTAAAAACTTAATCAGAACCACTTACTCACAACACAAATCACCAAGAAGAACCGCTTTAGCTGTTGCTAACTTGGCTAAAGGTTACAGAGATGATTTAAGAGCTGTTGCCGTTAAAAGAGCTTCTCAATACTCTCACTCAAAATCTGTTAAAAAATCTTACCCAACTTCAGTTAGAGGTAAAAAATAAATTTGTTAATGTCGTATAATTATAAATTTTAAAGGTTTTGGAAAACAGGATTATGATTATTTGATTCAATTTTGATCATTAATTGAAACTCCATGATGTATGGGGGTTTGATTATGATTGAATAATTTGTAGAATATTTAAAAGCACATCGATAGTTGTTAGTGATCTGAACTGCGTATTATACAAGAAGTGAAAAGCTAGTAATTATTAAATCAGAAACATCAGAACCAGTTACTGTTGATTTATTCTTATATTTTATTTTTAGACGAACCTCTTTCCAACATCAGGAACAAATAATTTTGTACGTAGATATAGAATTAGATCAAAGAAGCTGCACCGTACGCGCTTGTTATACACATAACACAACGTTTCATCATATTGAGTAAAGATAGCATTTGCGGATAGATATAGGTCCGTATATACTCGTTATTTAGGCTCTAAGATATAAGATCATCTGTCTTGTAACAGTTAACTCGTGATCCAACCAATAGAAGTTCTGTAACATCAATTAAACACCGTTGATCGATTCAATTACAGAGTCATTTAGATTTTCCTGGGGAAGATACATAGTATGAGAGTATGAGCATGATGTTACAAAAAGCTTGGAAGTCTGGTTATATACAACTTACAAGGCACCATGAACCATGGAGTTGGCTTCACAAATACGCAACAAAGATCCATGGAACACAAGATTCCGTTTAATGGACAACTGCGCTTCTGTACCAAGACTCAGGTGCTACGGTGCTACTTACTACACTAAGCACTTGTACTGAGTCTCATGCTGCTAGTTTATTAATTTGTGGAGTAAAAGTTCAGGTTACGCGTTCAAACTTCTGGAGGAAGATCGTTGCGCAGTGGGCTGAAAAATTGAAATTAAAAGTTTTATCGATAGCTGAAAGACCCTGTCTAAAATTTTTGGGGAGCGTTATAACGATAAGATCATGACACCACGGTAGAATAGATTGAAATACGTTCAAACTTCAAAGACAAGAATATCTTGTTCATCAGACGTTTCAAACAGACTTTTAAGCTTTACTGACTTTGCTAACATTGAGCTTAATTGACCCCCCAGTCAAGAAACTTTGAAAATAATTAAACATAATCCGAAGAAGAAATTCCTTTATTTTACCAAGCAATAATGGGAAAATAAGTTACTCCATTTGGATCAATAGTCACTTGGCCCAGGGTCTGGTCAAATGTTGATTGGTTATTGACTTTACTCCTGCTTTGTTTAAATTGGAGTCTGGGGTTCAGTACGCCTGCTGTACGCCTGTATACTCTGGAGTACATGGTTTAACAATCAAATGACGGAGGTTGACTAAAATTATAAAACATTTTGCATTGGAATATTTGTGATTTTACTTTTTGGAGATTATATAAAAAGATGATGACTTCCTTGTAAATCTGGGGAATTATATGTATACTCTTAATAGAAGTTCATTATAGCTCATCATCATATAATGTCCACAGATAATAAAGATATTGAAATTAGTCACATTGAAACAAATGTTGATGATCAATTAGATAAAAAATCTATTGAAAAACCACCATCAATTAATGAAGAACTTCGTCATAATTTAGAAATCCCAGATGAAATTAAACATCTTTCTGAAGATGAATTGAAAATTCTAGAAAAGAAAACTCGTCGTAAGATTGATATTAGAATCTTACCAATGTTGGTTTATATCTATATTTTAAATTATTTGGATAGAAATAATATTGCAAGTGCAAGATTAGGTGGTCTTGAAGAAGATTTAGGTCTTAAAGGTAATCAATATCAAACATGTATTTCCATCTTATTCGTTGGTTATATCTTAATGCAAATCCCTTCAAATATGATTGTTAATAAAATAGGTAGACCGTCATTATTCATCACTGTTATTATGACTATCTGGGCAATTATTTCAACTTGTACAGGTGCTGTTCAAAATTATCCAGGTTTAGTCGTTGCTAGATTATTATTAGGTTTTGTTGAAGCTGGGTTCTTTGGTAGTGCTTTATATTATTTATCATGTTGGTATTCAAGAACTGAATTAAGTTTAAGAAATGCTGTCTTATATAGTGGTTCTTTATTCTCTGGTGCATTAAGTGGGTTAATTGCATCTGGTATTATTGATAGAATGGATGGTGTTAAAGGTTTGAGATCTTGGAGATGGTTATTTATTATTGAAGGTGCTATTACTTGTGCTTCCGTCCCATTAGCTTATTTGATTTTACCAGATATGCCACATAATTCAAAATTCTTGAATGAACAAGAACGTGCATTCATCTTATGGAAATTAAGAAAAGAAGTTGGTCAAGATGATTCTGATCAAGAAAATAAAGAATCTTATGCATCAACAATGTTATTAACTTTCAAAGATATAAAAGTTTGGGCTATTACTGGTATTTTAAGTTTCTTAGTTGCAGCTGCTGGTGTTACAAATTTCTTCCCATCTGTTGTTCAAACTTTAAATTTCGATAGAGTTACCACTTTAGGTTTAACAGTTCCTCCATATATGCTTGCAGTTATTGCAACTTTTATTTGGGCAAGACATGCTGATAAAACAGGTGAAAGATTTTGGCATGTTGTTTTCCCATTGTTTTTAGCTTTGATTTCATTTATTATTGCAGTTGCTACAACAAATACAGGTGCAAGATATTTTGCAATGTGTTTAATGATTCCATCAATTTATTGTTCTTTTACTACAATTTTATCATGGATGTCAAATTGTGTTCCAAGACCTCCATTGAAAAGAGCTATTGCAATTTCTACAATGAATTGTTTATCAAATTCAACCTCGATTTGGAATTCATACTTATATCCATCAAGTGCTGAACCAAGATATTTAGTTGCATTTGTTTGTAATTGTGTCTTTGTTGTTTGTTCAATGTGTATTGCTTTAGTTTTAAGAACTAGATTAATGATTTTAAATAAAAAGATTGAAACAGGTACTATGGAATGGGAAAAGGAATTAGGTAAAGGAAATGATGGTTCAAAGATTAGTCCTGAATTTAGATACTTATACTAGATGTATGATTAATATTTCTCTTTATGACCTGATAATACATTTTTGCTTTGTTTTAATGATCGAATGGCATTTGTAGAGCTGCACCGATTAATCCCATCATGAATATGAACGTCTTTACCCCAGATTTCAAATTCAAAGCTGGTGAATTATCTATAATACGTCGACTATATAATCAGAAATTGCGAGAATATTGAACCCAAAATTACCTCCATTCGAACCCTAAACAAGGAATTTGTTATGATGAATCATATAATAAATTATGCCCAAAACATACATTTATTATGCACAAAACATACATTCATTATGCACAAATCGTGCATAAATATCAAGAGAAATATATTACTGAAAGGGTAATTTGAGATAGAATTATGATCAGATAGAGTAATTGTTAAAGAAGAGTATAGTCTAAGCCAATGACTATACATTTAGTGATAGAAGTATAAGGAACCAAAGTGAAATAAGTGAAAGTATATAAAAGAGAGGAAGAATCTCATCAAATTATGTATTAGATTGTTTAATAGAATATCCTTCATTTGTCTTACTACAAGTACTATAAAGTAACGTCTGCTATTGATAAGAACTATTGACCAAGGGTAGAATTGTCTACATCTTAGCTTCAACTTCAAATAAGGTCCTTCGGGTCCCAATTTCTTCCAGAAATCAATAGTGAAGCTGTTCTATTTTAATTAACTAAAAATTAATTGAGATCTTATATATCCCTAATTCTAATTGCTGGTCTATTCCCGCTACACAAGCATTGGTACTGCTCAATATGGATGAGTTGAAATCTGATCATATTATAGCTTATACTGAGATCTGAAATCGCGAAAATTACATGAAGTTGTGAAGTATACAAATTAAAATGGTGGTACTTTAATAGCTTTCACAATGAGTTCAGAGTATCCAGACTTGCTCAGATTAAATTTATGACCCAAAATCATAGTGATGTAGAAAAATATTGAAGTTTACATCGTTGCTATTCATGTTTTGGGACATTTATTTCTCTGTCACGTGACTAAAATGTTTTAACGGGATGATCAGGCCAAATTTTTAATTCAACAAATCATCAGATAGTTTAGTGGTTAGAAGCTACAAAACTTCGGATAGTTTAGTGGGAATCCTCAAAAATCCCTGATAGTTTAGGGGGGAGGATTCGGAAGCTCTCGGATAGTTTAATGGTGAGAATTACCGTTTGTCGAAGACAATCCATGGTAGATCGGGGTTCAATTCCCCGTCCGAGAGATTTCTTTTTTGCCTTTTTGCACTAAATTTTTTGGAGTTATAAACTAACCTATTGAATACTAAGGGTACAATAAATGGTTAATTTTTTTCATCATGATATATGAAAAGTGTAAGTTGATAAGTACAATAGTGGTTTTTTAATTTCCGATTGAAATTTCGACCGTATTCGCTGGTAATCAAGATACGAATATTAACACCGTCAAGATCC